CAACGATAGAGATCTACATTCATCATTTCTGTTAGCTAGTTTTTTTTCCTGCCTGGTGCTATCCTTCAAGTTGATATACGCTCCATCATTTCTGCCCTAAAAGCTCGCATGAATGAAAATGTCTATTGTTTAAATACACTAATATAAGACCTGATGAATATTAACATTATCAGTTCAGAGTTCCTGTTCATGATTCATAGCTGTCCTAGCGCTGCAAACAGTACTTCAATCATGCCTGCAGTTTTGCTGATACATACAGATTTATATTGTATGAAGATTGATGTTGTTACTAACTTTGTTACTATTTTCTGTGCGGTACATGTAGACTGGCGCTATGAAACTTGGAAAAGATGCAATTGTTCTCACACAAACTAAATCCTCCAGATCAGTGGCCTTTCTTTCTCAGTCTTTTAATGAAGAAAAGGATGTATGTATTGTTCTTATTGCTCCCCCATCCCCCCTGCCTCCCTCGTAGTGTATTGCATTAAATTGGATAATTCACTGCAGAACCTTGAGATCCCTGTGGTGGCATATCGAAAGGAAGGGCAATACATGGAAGTTGATTTGAGTGTCCAGTCTGATGCTACGGCAGAATATAACTTGAGTGCTATTAAGAATTTTTCTTCGTTCAACGAGTATTTCATTGGAGAAAAGTTAGGTCTATTTGGTGAAGATCGTACTGGGACACAAATTTACATATGGAATTTAGACAGATGGGGTACTGAATGCACTTTGGAGTGGAATTCTGGTAAGTCTTCAGAAAATCCTGTGCACCCTGGTCGTGGAGACATATTAATCCGTTCAAGAAGAGTCAGATCACGTCCAGGACAAACAAGTAACAAGGTATGCTCTGTAACTCTTCATCAATTTACTTTGATCTCTTTGAGGCAAGAGACAACCATACTAAACATGACTTCTAGGGATGTATTTTGAATTTCACCTTGTAGGATCCAGAAGTTCATTGTAGCTTTCTGATTGGATACTGTAGCTTTCATGTTTTTATATATACTGCTTGTTGTAGTTTGATGATGATGCATGCCACTCACACATTGATATTCAAAACGTTGCGCATGGTTGATTTGGAACCTAACCATATTCTTTGTCCATGTCATGGTTTGCAATGGTTCTTAATATTCTGTGCATTGAATCACTTCTTTTATGGATCGTATTCTTAGGTGCTGTTGGACTATTCTCTTCAGTCCTATCTGGAAGTTATGTTCTTGAATCCTCGGATGAAGATATCTGTCCAAGGGTCTTTGGTAAATATTCTTTTCTTGAGCACTCTTTATTACTCCTGTCATTTCTTTCTATGTTATAGTTGCCTGTTTTCATTTGCTGTTTTTTTTTACTTGGCAGGTCAAAAGCCGCCCGTTGGCGAAGACCCTTAACAAGACTTCTGTTGTGTCTGGTGAAATTATGGGAAGGACTATTCTATTGACTCTGGGAAGGAGCAAAGTAGAATGGGACAGAACAAACTGTGGAATCTTCTTATATTGGCATGGTCGTTTGATAGAGGTGAGGTTAGCTGTTCTGGCATAAATAGTTAATCTGCCTTCTAGACTATAGTCGAGACTCGAGAGTGAATTGTGGCTCCATTTATGTTGCAAATGGAAATAGACATGTTAGATGTAACATCTAGCTGCAGGAATTACATTGAACTTTCCATGTCCAAGTTTATAGCTGTAAATGTTTGCTTTGTTGTACTTGTGATTATGTGTTTCACTTTTCAGTCTTACAAGCGGGTTGGAGGCCAAAAGCATAGTACGGACATGGGGCGTGGAGTAATAGGAGTTGCAGATATCACAGATCTCATTGTATGCTTACACCATGACTATCCTATTTTTTGTTTTTCGTTCAGAGCGAGAAATTCAGTTCTCCTTTAGCCTCATATCCATGGAATTAACTTCTCTGTTCTTTTGCAGGATGATGAAGATGGTAATTCATGGGTTCTGAACAATAAACAGGGATTTCAAGATTGTGAAATGTATGCTAAACTGGAGGAGTGGCTTGGTAGGAAAGTGGATGAATACTGGGATACGAAATTTGACAGTCTCGAGCTGGTATGGATTATGATTTTGTTTATTCTGGAATAAATTAACGTGCCTTACTGCTCATGCATATGGGGCCATGAGTTGCTAAATGTTCATACTAATATCTTAAACATAGTGGGATGGGGGTGGGAGGATTGAGAGTTTCTTTCCAATCTTTGTTTATACTTGTGCCATCAGAAGCTCAATGTCTATATTATATATGGATGGAGTTCTCATTGTAGATTCTTTCATAACTGTTTCATCCAGAGAAAAGGGGATGAGCGCCACAAGCCTGATTCTGACTGGGTTCAGTGCTGCAGCTGTCGTAAATGGAGAATGTTGAATGCAGGCTTCAATGTAGACAATCTTCCTGAGGAATGGTTTGTATCAGGCAGTCATGAAGGATTTTCATACATGATGAAGTCATGATTTTAATATTGTGCCCTTCTTACTCTTAAGCTGTAATGACACAATTGATTGGTTTACATGGTAACACTAGAGCACTTCTTTTAGTTAGCGTTAATCTTTCTTTCACATATTAATAATCAGGTGATTATGAAGTAGTAATTTTACCATTGAGCACTTAGCTACCGTTACACCACACTGAATAATTAGTGATTTGACATGGTGACCACACTATATCTGTTATGTGGCTGCTAGGATTGAGAGGGAGAGAGTTGAGGGAGCGGTGGCGAACTGACGTGCTACAGTAGCGCGCGGGTACTGTTTACGCCCCCACCTAGATTGTGGCGGCTGGGGCTGAGAGGGAGAGAGGGCCGGCCGGGGGCCTTGCCCACGGCTGAGCAAGAGGGAAGGGATTTCCTTCTTCATTCTCGCTTGATTAGATTGATACATCTCCTCTTCTTATATAGAGAGGTTTACTTACTCCCAAGCAAGGCTTACTTGATCCTAAGCAAGCGACCCTTATCTCTAATTAACCCTAACACTAATGGGCTATACAGCCAGCCCAGGCCCAATAGGCCCCCTGACGTACTCTAACAATATCACTTCTTTATTAATGATGATCATCTTGCTGCCTTCTCACCTTAGTGGATAAACATTTAGTTGTTCATGCATCAGTTTTAGTACTCATCGTCTGAATCATTGGATCTCAATTCATTATCTGTTCGAAACTATTTGTAGATACTTACATGTAACATCACAGTTGTGTGGTTTATACAATGGGAGTTTATGATTTTGGCTCACTAAAGTTTATACATGGGCATTAGTTTTTGATAGTTTTTAAGCCCTGACGTTCTGAATTTCAGGTTCTGCTACATGCCACCATTCAATGGCAAATGTGAGATTCCTGAACAACAAATGGGACGAGGCGTCATCGTGATAGGTGAGAAGAGATCTGGACATGATGAACAAAATAAGGCTGCCCTGCAAGGAGGTACACCAAAGAAGGAAATGAGGCCTCAGAACCTCGAGATTCAGATGATTACTCAAGATGAAAAAGATGCGAAGGTAGCTAGTAACCCTAAATCATATAATACACTTCCTCTGTTCAAGATCAAAGCCATGGAGATAAATAGCTGTTCACATTCTGTACTCATAATGTACAGGGTATGCCAGAGGTTGTCAACAAGCGAAAGAAACCTTCAAGTGGCACCCCATCAAAGCCCAAGAACAACAGCGATGGTAGGACCATCATACCAGCTGAGATTCCCAAATTTTTGTCAATTGTTTGTCTTGCATGAACTAAAAAAAAATCCCTTTTCAGATGATCTTGAAGGTGTGTCCTCACAAACTGAAGATGACGTCCCTCTCCTTAAGTTAAAGAGGCTAAGAAGGGGGCCTGCAAAGACTTCCAAATGTTGACAGAAAGTGAAACTACACGGTAACCATTCTGTGCCTTTCCTTTTCTCTTGTTAGGCCCTAAAACTTACATGCCAGTAATGATCACTCTGCTTTATTTCTCTTAGTTTCTCTTCTTGTGTCTTGCTAGATCCTTAGACTTAATGCATCTGTTCTTTTCCCAGCTGGTGTAATGCTTCGTTTGGATTTTGGACGGACTTTGGACTTCGAGACTGATGCATGAGGGCACGAGGCCTTCGTTTAGCACACTGGCAGCTATAATAATTCTCTTGCTTTTGTGCAGTAGAATTTTGAAACGTGCGTGTTTGTAAATAGAATTCTGCTGTTGGATTAGGCGTCTGTTTTTAAGTAGGTGTTTCTCGCATTCGAATGTTGCAGCTTAGGCCCTATTTGGATCCATTAACTACTAATAGTTAGCTAGCTAATAGACCATAACTAACATTAGCTAGTTTTGTTCAACTAATGAAATAGATGTTAGAGCATCTCCAATAGTTCTCAAAAAACCAATTGAGAAATCAAGAGTTTTTCAAGTGGCTAAAAAGAAGTTGGGAGTATATCGACAGTTTCCAAAATTCTGTTCCTAAAAGACAATTTTGCATTAGGAATCCTGCACTATTTTCAAGTCACCATAACTTTTTGTATAAGATGCTAGACGGACAACGCAGCATGTTGCTGGATTTGCGACAGATGTATATGGTTTGGAATGAAAATTGAACAACCCAGAATTGTTGACTTACATAAATCATTAATATGGGTAACTTAGTTTTCATGGAGGGATAGACTATAATAATAATTAATGTTAGTGGATGAAATAACTCATTGATGTCAGTTAAGTGCACGCTAGTGATGATATAGTTTAGTGAATAGTTTGTAGGAACACATAGCTATAATAATTGTAGGCTCGTGGGGTGTTTTTTTTTTCTTAGGGCATATAGATAGATTAATGCCATAATTGGAGTTGTCATTTTCTGTGTTTTACAATGCTGGGCTCCTCCCGTGCTTGTTATACGGTGAGATGTCGTAATGCACATATTTGGACTGTCACTTTCTTCTTATATAACAAAAAGCCTCAAATGAACCCAGCAAGAACCCACCTGTATAATTCTACTTTGCATTCACCACCGTCCACGGAGACTGGTTTTTCGGCGTCTACTCGGCGAGCTGCTTGCCCTCAAACGTCTGCGCGAACATCCAGTCCGCCGGCGCTACGCCGTAGGCGGTGGCCGTCCTGCCCCTCCCGCCGGTGACCTCGAACGACAGCGGCTGGCCGCGGAGGTCGGCGTCGCACTGCCAGTTCTGGCCCCAGTTCCGCCCCATCGGGATCCACCCCGTTGTCGACCCCTTCACCTTCACGGCCGCCACCTCGCCGTCCGCCGCCACGTTGGTGATCAGCACCTGCAGGAAGTGGGCGCTGCCGGTGATGGTGAACCGCATGCCGCCCGCCCTGTCGCAGCTCACCCTGCACCATCACCACCACCATAGCGCCAAAAAGTTCAGCTGCATCATATCCCGGAATAAAAAAGAAATAGAAAAGCTCCATTTGTTGATGGTGGTGATCATAGTGGGATGGCCTCTTCTGAAAGAGACGATCAGGTGTTCTTTTTTTTTCAGACAGAATAGGTGATCAGTAGGCGCAAATGGCAGGATAACTTAATTTGGTATTATGCCATAATAAACTCATATAAAGGATACTTGCTGTGCACTCTTGCAGTAGTTGGAACACACTCATAGCACTTGTCTGGAAACGGGCAAGTGCTCATAATTAAGTCAGATTTGAAAACAAAAAGGAGGACCACTGACTGAAAGCCGATGTTTTCTTTTCTCTGTGCTTTCGAGAGCCTGATGCTTCCTACACCCATTAGTTAGCATTCCAAAGTGGCTTCAGGCATTCAACCGATATTCTACGATCCAATTCTAATCATCCAACATCATTCTGGGCTTTCACAAAAGGCAGTGCAGTGTCAGGCTTCAAAAATACACTGAACGCACAGCTCAAGAATGATAGCGCGCCATGTGCCATGGCTTTGCATATTCATTCATGGTCAGCCAAGTTGGAGTATGATAAAATTTGTTTGTTTTCACATATAAAGTATTGCTAACCCGATTCCAATGCGCAGTTGCTCTGCGTGTTCTTTGAAACAAATTTTGTAAGCCTTGAAAAACAAAAACAAAAACATCGAGCAGTTCAAGGCGGGAGGCATGTAACGTAGCGCAACCTACCTTCGGAACTGCACGGGCACGATGTCGGCCTTGGCCTTGGCGACGCGGAGGAAGGCGGCCTCGGACAGCTCGAGGTGCTCCCGTGGGAAGTTGCACCAGCCGCCGGCCTCGTCGGCGAGGCCCATGTTGGCGGGGCAGAAGTCCGTCGCCGTCACCACCACCGTGGGGCTACCCCGGAGGCACCACTGGATGTGGTTCACGCACCGGAGCTCGTAGCAGCCGCCGCAGGCGCTGCCGCGCCCGAACAGCGCCACGCTCAGCCCCGTCGTGTAGCGGCCGTACCTGAAGATGTCCAGGTCGCCGTACCCGCAGGCGCCACCACCTGCAGGAACCAACCATTGCATCAGGCACAGCAACAAGCAGTGTGTGTGTTTCCTTTTCCTAATACTGTAATAAATAGTGCAGCAATGACAGAAAACATGGAGCTATGCACAGATAGAAATTCTTGAATCCATGAATTTAGAACTTTAGCGCTAGTTTAGATTTTTCTCAAATTTACGAGAATTGAACAGGTCCAAACGAAATTGCTGTGAAATTTACTAACATTCGAAATAGCCTGGACTGTAACTTTTAGGAGTTTGATGCATTAAAAGTAAAAAAAATAACTAACTCACAGTTTAGTTGGCAATGAATGAAGTGTCGATTGTCAATAAGACGAAATGCTACTATTTGGTTCAAACATGACCTAGCCTGGACAGTAACTTTTAGGAGCTGTCGCAATGAATGAGTGTCTGTCAAATTAACCTTGTTTATGCAGACCTGTTTTTATTTAGCAATTAGTATTCAAACATGGATGAGTAATTTCTCAAAACGGGTAATTTTTAGGAAAGTTTTTTTTTCACTACATTGTAGTGGTACAAACATTGGTAGTAGCACTTTTTTTGAAATTTGGCCTCTAAATAATTTGTCAATGCACCCAGAAAATTACCGTATCAACCTCAGCTCCAAACTTTCTCAAAGGCACTGTAAGGTCTGGTAAAAGTACTAGCTGGCCTCTCATAATTTGTCAATGCACCCATTAAATGTGCGTCAACATAACTTTTCTCAAAAAAAATCACAAAAGGGTAGCGCCGAAAATGTACTCCATAACTTGTCCTAAAAAAATAAAAGGGGTACTCCATAACCCCTTTTCTTTTGGCCGTTAAAAGATAGCAATAGCATTAGTGCACTACCATCAACCCTCCTGAAAAAACTGGGTTTTTTTTTTCTGCAGCACCTTTGACAAATCAAGATAGTGCTTCTATCATGTACAAAAAAAATCATCTTGGAATGTTCAGTTCCAAGAATCACTCAATGTGAAGCCAGGAAGGAAAAGGGGAAGAAGTTCTGTTGGACATTGGTGAATCTCCCTTCGTGTGTGTGTGTTTTGGCGACATTGCAGTAAGCAGCGACGCCCGGATCTGTACAACACCGCACTATATTCTCGCCCATGGAATAGAATCGTGTCTTCAGACGACATTCGCAATCTCCATTTCTTTGTTGGAAGAGAGGGAAGCATTGGCTACCTTTCATCCACCAAAAATGCAGAAAGGCCGGCCGGCAGGGGCCGGGGAAGAAGAGGAGGGAAAGAAAACCGACTCTGACGACAGAGCATCGCTGATGCTCCTCCTGATTGTATTTGTACTACGACTGCGAGGCTGAAACAAACGCAGGCACATCACATACCGTCGTTGAGAGGGTGCGACTGGAACTCCTTGACGTAGGTGGCGGTGCCGAGCCTCCAGTCCTCGTAGCCGCCATTGCCGAGCCTCACGCCGCCGCCGAAGCTGGCCGCAGAGAGCAGCAGCAGCAGCAGCAAGAACAGCGGCAGGGAGCTCACCATGCCGTCCGCCCGTCCGCCCGCCCGCTGTTGATCAACCAGCGGCAGGGAGTTCTCCTATCCTAGTCGAGCAAGAACAGCAGCAGCAGCAGCAAGAACAGCGGCAAGGAGCCTTTCTTGGTGCTGTTCTTGGACTGTCTGAACTGAAATGTACAGTGTGTTTGCTTGGCCGGTGGTGGTGGGATGGAGGGAGCAGAGGGAGCAGGGAGCAGAGGGGAGGAGACCGCCAGACCGGAATGGGGGAGTCAAAGGTGACGGAGCGGGGCAGAGAGGGGAGGACCGGCGGGTTGTGTAGAAGACAAGGCGAGGCTGCTTTTGCCCGCTTCCTTTCTGCACTGGCTTTATTGGGATTTGCGGCAGTGGGGGCAGAGGCCGCAGTGGCGGTAGCAGCCAGTAGCCGCCGCGGAGGCTGCCCTTTTGAGGACCTGGCTGGCCCCGCTCGGGAGGGAGAAGACGGGGCAGAGCCGCAGAGGACTCGACAGAATGTCTTTTGCACTGCCGCCCTCCCAAACATGCCATTTACCACAACCGGCACCTCTGAAACAACTGATGCAAGCCCAAGCGAACAGGGCGCCAGTTGATCAAATCGAGATTGCAATAGCTCACACCGATTGCAGTCATTAACTCATTATTATGCCTGTGATTTTCACTTGTGTTTCAGTGGTATTTTCGCTTGTGTTTCAGTGGCTGTGTCGTGTACAGCCTGCAGAAGCAAAGATTGAGAGAGGATGAGAGGTTGGGGGGCCGGGCAAGGGCTTTTAGGCTGTGTTTAGTCGTAGGAATTTGAAATTTGGGGCTACTATAGCATGTTCGTTTTTATTTGGTAAATAGTGTTCAAATATGGATTAATTAGACTTAAAACGTTCGTCTCGTAATTTTCCACCAAACTGTGTAATTAGTTTTTTTTTCATCTACATTTAATGTTCCATACATGGGCCGCAAACATTCGATGTGACAGATACTGTAGCATTTTTTTGGATTTTGGCTTCAAACTAAACACGCGCTTATTAGGTTTGAGTGTCCTTGATCTTGGGAGTGATTGCTGACCTCGTGCCGGTGCCAGCCTACGGACTGGCCTCTTAAAATTGGGCATCAGGGACGTGAGCCAGATACTGCGACGAGATACGCCTGATCCGAGCGCGATCTCCGCCTGAGCCTAGCAAGGGGCATACCCTGCCTCACATTAGTCGCATGGTCCCGGACAGCCGGCACGTACTGGCGGAGGGATGACCTGTTTTGTTCGAAGCAAAACAAGCAGCTACACCGTACACCCAAGAGGCCAAGACCAGCAAAGACCAACTAGAATATACATGGCCAACCGGGCCGCACGGCACGGCACAGGCCCGGACACAGCCAAGCATGGCACGCTTAGGCACGGTACTATGCGGCACACCAGCTAGCCGTGCCGTGCCTGTTAGTGCTGCCGTGCCACCGTCTTGGCCTAGGCACGGCACTATAGCCTCCGAGTCGTGCCGTGCTATGTCGCGGGGCACGACGGCCCATAGTGCCCGTGCCGGCCTTGGCTCGACACCGCGCCCGCCCGCGCGCGTCGACTCTGTGCAGCCATTGCAGATCCCGCGCCTAGGCTCGCCATAGATGCAGATCCGGCGCGGGCGCGCCCCTAGCCAAGCGCCGCCGCCGCGGGGACGCGCCCCCGGCCGAGCGCTGCCGTCGCATTGCCACGCCGTGGTCGCCACGCTGCTCTCCAGCTCCCCCGCACCGAGGTCATTGTGACGCTGTGGGATAGGAGGGGGAGGCACCGTGGGTAGCAATGGTGGAGAGTCTGGGCACAGGACAGAGGAATCGGACATGGGGAGGAGGCTGCAAGAAGGAGGAGGACGAGAGGAAATTGGGGAGGAGGCCGTGGGACCGGGGAGTACCGGGAAATTAGGAGTTAGGGTTTCGGGAGGTGATTATATACTCCAATCCAACGGCTGGAAAATCCCTGAAATCATCCAATGGCTATAAACTATCGGGCCACATCGTGCCCGCCCAAAATTGGTGGCATGCCCGTGCCGGCACTACGGGCCGAACCTACGTCCCAGGCATGGCACTACCACGGGGCCGTGCCAGGCACGGACACGGTGGGAGTGGGGCCAGACTGCCCTGTGCCATGCTTCTTCGTGCCGTGCCTGGGCCGGCCCATAGTGCCCGTGCCAGATGGGGAAATATAAACTAGAATAAGGCCCTGTTTAGTTTGTCCCTCCTAAACTTTAGTCATTTAAACCTAGAACTAAACTTTAGTCAATGGCCGTTTGGTTTGGGTGACTAAAATATACCTTTTAGTCCCTTTTTAATCAGGGTGTTTGGCTCTAAAGTGACTAAAATATGAGGTTTATTCCCAAATAGTCATAATTTGTTGACTAGTTGGCTAAAGCCCATTTAATCTCATTTAGTTATAGTATTTGGGTGAAAAATAACTAAATAAGATTAGATTTAGCCGACTAAACTTTAGAAGTGGCAAACCAAATAGGCCCTAAGAACATCTCCAGGGGACACTGTAAAATTTCACCCACCGTATCTTAGGTATCCTATTTCATAAATTTTTCTCTTCATATTCCAACACACTCCAGCAGACTAGTTAAATCCTCATTGTCCATATCCTCTTGATCTATATTTTATTTGCATATAAATTTGAATGTATTGGTACATTTTTCCCTTGATTTTTTGAGAAGCATAAATCGTGCTCTTAAGTTCAAATAGCTCAGAAAAACAGTCAAATTTGAGGCCTGTTCGTTTGATCTTGAGATAGGATTGGGGTGTTGTGTGTGTGTGTGTGTGTGTGTGTGGGGGGGGGGGGTTAGAGGGAGATTTTGACTTGTATGAGATTCAATTCATCTTATGCCTGTTCGGTTGTTCTCAAAATTAAAATCAAACGGATTGGAGGGGATTGAGGAGGATTTGGACTTGTAGGGGATTTAATCCCTTATATTTACCTTAGTTTAGGGATCAAACAAACAAGGCCTCAATCTCGTCCACCCCCGGCCCCTTGGTTTTGGGACCAAACAAATAAATCCTAAGGGCTCGTTCGGTTTGGGCAAAATAACACCAGGAATCAATCTGGCTAATGAAAACTTATATAAATTAACTAACGATTCTGGCCAGGAATATTCCGTAGAAACAAACCGGGCCTAAGGGATTTTTAGTAAAATGCAATACAACTCATTAGGTGCCATGCAAATACTTGGATGAAATATGGTGAATTGAAATAATCAAATATGACCCGCGACTCATACAATGTTTTTTTTGAGTTAAATAGACTGGCAGCCCTTAAACTTATAGCTCTGTGCCACTTAGGTCCACGAACTCTCAAACTCGAAATCCAGCTCTCTGAATTTGTTAAGTCATGCATCGCAAGTCCATGTCCCTTCGTGTAGCTGCTGACTAGGATAAATTTTATAAAACACACCTCCCTCTTCTTCCCCTTCTACGAGGCCACAGACGCGGTCACGCCGCTGGCCTCCAGGCCCATGCTCCTCTGGCTATAGGACGGGCCCAGCTGCTCTGGCCTCCTGGGCAACTTCTTCAAGCTCGGCTCCTGAACCCTGATGGCGTCTCCCTCTCGCGCAACCCCTTCGCGTGGAGCTACGCGGGCAAGTACATCCCTGCGGCGGGGGCGTACATCCTTGACGCGAACACAGCACTGCTGGAGGCGCAGCGCGTGAACCTGGGATGCTCCAGCACCGGCGCCACGTCCACGTCGTCAGGCTCCCACCACTACTCCAGTGGTTGGCTCCACCACTCCTCCGCGCGCAAGCAGAAGCACCAACAGCTCAACTTGGAGGTGCTTAGGCCACCAGAGATGCGCCGGAGCAGCTCGGCCGAGGCGCTCCACGAGTGACGCCGCGAGCGCGTGCGACAGAGGGAGCAACATCCTCGGCACTAGCCTCGTGCAGTCGCACGGATCAGAGCGGGCGGCGACGGTGCCGGTGGAGGGTGCGGCGAGCGCCTGGTGCTGCGCGTGCGCCGCCACGACCGCCCCGCGTGCTGCGGCCTTATCTGCAGCACGTGGAGTCCCGTGGCCGACGAGATGGAGCAGCACCGCCGCGAGCTGCGGCAGTTCGCCAACGCCGACGTGGACGGGACCACAGGTGCGACGCGCTAGGCGTCGGCTTCCTCAAGGGCCGCGCCTACTACCACCGCCTCGGTCGCATCTGGCGCGGGAGCTACCTCCTCCATGGCCCGCCGGGCACCAGCAAGTCCACGTTCGCGGTGGCCATGGCGATGTTCCTGGGCTATGACATCGACCTGTCACGCGCCGACGAGGAACTCCGCGCGCTGCTCCTGCACATCACCCCGTGCTCGCTCGTCCTCGTCGACGTGTCGTGCTGCGGCGAGGAGCGCGTCATGGGTGTTCACCATGCGCGGGGGCAAGGACGCCATCGACGCCGCGGTGCTGCGCCCGGGTTAGCTGGACGTCCACATCCAGTTCACACTCTGCGACTTCGAGGCGTTCAAGGCGTTTGCCAGCAACTACCTGGGGCTCAAGGACCACAAGCCTGTGCGCGATCACCAGGGTGGTGCACCCCGATCACGAAGCGGTCCAGCGCCTCCTGCCTGAGCTTCTCCGAGTCGGAGTCAAGCGCGCTGGTGACCTCGTCTAGCAACAGGATGACGGAGTTGTGGGCGCTGGAGGGCCTGGCGCTGCTGCGGCGGGTGTTGACGAGCGCCGCCTCGTGCGCCTGCTCCTGCATGCGGATGAGCTTGGCGTAGGTGCCGTTCTCGATGTTGGCCATGAGCTCGTCGTGCTCATGCGTGCCCATCTCAGCTGAAGATACGAGATGACAATGATAGGGTGTTTTTTTTATAAAATTTTATCTAGTCAACAGCTACATAAAAGGATATGGACATGTGGTGCATAACTTACCCAAGTTTAAGGAGCCGTATTTCGAGTTTGAGAGTTCGTGGACCTAAGTGACACGGAACCGTAACTTTTTTTTTTTGACAAGAGCGACTCATACCATGTTGAGCCGAGCAATTAAAGGTGATGATTCCATGTAACA